CTGCTGTTCGAAGGGGAAAATGATCAGGGCTGTCAGATTCAGCTCCATCACCCTGACACGTTACAACAGTGCGGCTTCAACTCGTCTCTGCCTCTGGTGATGATAATCCACGGGTGGTCGGTAGGAAATTCTGACACACCTTTTTCTCTCTGTTTTTACATTTTCTCTTTTTCTCCTTAGTGTACTCAATTTTAATAAAAAGATAGGGAGCCAGCGATAATGACTTCATGCCTAATATTTAGAGAGCACATTCTAATTTTCCAAGTGCTTCTCCACACATTATTTCATTGATTGTCTCGATTCCACGAGTAAGCAAGGGGAGGAAAGTATAATTATCTCCACGCCTCAGATGATTAGATGTGACTCAAAGAGGTCACATAGCAAATGAGGGTCCATAGAGATTGTAGTCCAAGCAGGTGACACTGCATATTTCACAAGAAGAATGAGGAAGCCAGAAGACAGTCTCACAATGAAATGTTGTGTCCGTCAGAGTTAAATTCAGCTGGTTAAATAACAGAAATCCAATTGGCAATGGTTCGAATAAGACAGAAGTTTGTTTCCATTTCACATAATAGTTCAGAGATACGTAGTCCAAAACTAGTTAAAGGGCTTTAGTCAATGAAGCCCTCAAGGACCCAGCTAATTTCCAGCTCACTACTCTGCCATCCTTAGATGTGGACCCTCATCCTCATAGTCCAATATGGCAGCTAGAGCACTAGCCATCACATCTTTATTCCAGGTAGCACAATGTAGTAAAGGGTGTACACAAAGGAGTCAAAGAGCAAAGTTTCCAAAAACAAGTAGCACAATGTAGTAAAGGGTGTACACAAAGGAGTTAAAGAGCAAAGTTTCCAAAAACAGCTTTATTGAGATATAATTCACATACCACACAATTCATCTATTTAAAGTGTTCAATTCAAAGGTTTTTGGTATAAAATAGTGGGGTTTTTTTTAGGTTAACTTTCCAGAAGCATCTATGAAATACTACTAATTACATCCATACCTAGTTGGAAAGGTGGCTGAGAAATGTAGCCTCTTAGAGAAAGTGTAGCCTTTCAGTGACACTGAAAATATTATTACTTATAGAAGAAAGGGAGAGAGAATACCGTGGGCAATAATTGAAGTCAAACTAAATGAGGACTTGTCCCCAAGAGAAAATTCTGACTCTTTGGTTATCAGACCACACACAGTTTGAAGCTTAGTTCACAATATGAAACCTTTAAAGTTTTGGGGATCTATTTCATGACTCGGAAAACTTTCCCTGCCATCTAGTTGGAAATATTCTTGAAATATTCTACCCTAGAATGAAAAATGGGCCCTTGATCTAGGCCCTTTACATTATACATCAGCCTATTTAATCTTCACTCTCTCAGCCTCCCCCTCACTCTCCCTACTTCCCACTTTAAGCTCCAGCAACGCCCATGTGCTTATGGCTCCTTCTGCATACCATGTGATTGCTCTCCTCTTGGCCTTGGCTCAGACTGTGCTTTCTGGCTAGAGTATCTTTTCCCTTCTTCTCCTGTGGGACATTAGTCATTATATATTAGGTGCTCCAAAAATACTTGTTAACGGAATTAGTGACTGAGTAAATATCTTGTTAACCAATGCAATATGAAGTCCTCTTACTAAGGTCTTTTTATCAGAATGAGCTCTTTATCCTCAAAATCCTGTCCAGACTGGAATACATCTACTATTACTAGTAATAATAATAACAGCAAAAAATAAAATAATAAAAAATTAAAAAACAATAACAACAGCTGCAATAACTGACATTTACTGAGTGTTTACTATGCTTCAGGCACTGTTCTAAGTGCTTTGCGTATATTACCTGATTTCATTTTCACAACAATCCTGGAAGGAGGGCACTATTATTATCCTATTTTCCAGATGAGGAAACTGGGCCACAGAAATGTTAAATAACTTGCCCAAGATCACTGACTGAGCTAGTAACCGGGAAAGTCTGGATTTGAATCGAAGATACTGCATCCACATAGAAGGCACTGGGTAAACATTTACTAAATGAATGCACCTTACCCCAGGTGACATGCCAAGTCATCAGCATTGCTTTCCAGCTTCACCTCTGTAGTCTAGTATTCAATCACTTCAATGACTTTTCTCCTCTTGCCAGACATACCACACTCTCACGTGCTCTTCCTTATGCCTGGGGTGTCCTGGACCCCACCACCACCACATTCACTCGTCCAGCCCTATTCTTCTGAGAGAGGGCCTTTATTCTTTAAGACACAGCACGAATGCCTTTGCTCTGTGAACCCATCAAATTGGTTCTCAAACAAGGCGCGTACATACACCAATTCCCCATAAACATTTATTGAGCCCTTAGTATGTTCTGTCTCCTAGTGCTAGTCCCTCTAAGGCAAGCAGAATGCAGTGGGTGAGAGACAATGGGGTGGGATTCAGAGGTGCAGCAGAGCAGGCCTTCCAGAGGAGCTGGTGTGGGAGCTGGCCCTCAAAGGAGGGGTCAGTTTTCAGTACCTAATTTTCACAGACTTTTCCATTGTTTTAAGGATTAGAAAGTCCTAAAAATAGGAAAATGTTAAGAGAATGGTTCTCAGTTGGAGGCTGGGAGTTGTAGCTCCTGGGGAACATCTGGCAAAGTCAGGAGACATTTTTGGTTTTCACGACTTGGCTGGGCGGTGGGGAAGCGGGTGGCGTGCTGCTGCCAGCATCCCATGGATGGAGGCGAGAGACCACTAAACATCCTACAAAACACAGAACGGCCCCACAACAAAAAAGCTTCTGTCCCCAAATGTCAATAGTGCTGAGGCTGGGAACCCCCTTATAAAGCCCTTTCTTCTGGAGAGAAGGCTCCAGCATTAGCAGGGAGTTGGAGAAGAAAAAGAGGTGAATAGGGAGAAAGAGGAAATTAGTGCAATGCTCCCTCCATCCCCTCCTGGGGAGGCTGACTACACTGTGGGACCACCCTCAGGTGGACGGCTTGCTGGAAAACTGGATCTGGCAGATGGTGGCCGCATTGAAGTCTCAGCTGGCCCAGCCAGTGAATGTGGGGCTAGCAAACTGGATCACCCTGGCCCAAAATCACTACACCGTTGCTGTCCGCAATACCCGCCTTGTGGGCCAGGAGGTTGCGGCTCTTCTCCGATGGCTGGAGGTAAGACCTGCCCTGATCTCCCTTCCTCACGCTTCCTCAAAAACTAACTGAATTAAGCTGGTCTCCAATAGCAACCCAGACAGGAGAACCACTTCTGCTAAGCTCATAGGAATGAGACGGCCAGGATGGAGACCAGGCCCCAAGGCTCTCTCAGCTGCCTCACTTGCACCTCTGTTTTGTAGAATCATCATCTTCTTCCCCATCCCACCCACCATTCCTTTTATGTTTACCCCCTTGGATGTGCTAAGGGATCTAAACACACTCTGTGAACCAACCAAACCTCACACGAATGAACTGGATGGCTTCTACAGGGCATTCATGTACAGTTCAAAACAGACAGGCAGGAGGCAGAGTCACCAGGCAGGGTCCCAGGTTGCTGAGGCTGAAAGGGGAGAGGACAGAGTCTGCAAGGTGAGAAACCAGTTTGGGTCTGGAGTATAAATTAAGCACTTCATTTGCAATTGGGCGCAAAGAACAGGGTGGGAGCCTGAGCGAGCTAGACCCACAAAAGGCTCTTACCTGGCAGTTCTTCTCCTGCAACCATCTTACCGCTGTCTTCCAGGAATCTGTTCAATTTTCTCGAAGCAATGTTCATCTAATTGGGTACAGCCTGGGTGCACACGTCTCAGGATTCGCTGGCAGTTACATCGGCGGAAAGCACAAGATTGGGAGAATTACAGGTAACCATGCCTCATAACCCTCAACTGTAATCTCCATGATGGCACGGGGGCACGGAGCAAGGACCTGCTTGTCTGACGGTCTCATAATTAACACATCCTCACTTCCTTCACACCCTGGTGTTCTAGGGAGGACGTGCAGCACTATTTCAAACGTGAGTGCTGTCATAGACTGCTGTTCCAAGATAATTCAGAAATCACAGCCTCCATGCCTATTGCCTTTCCTCAGATGAATGCCTCTCTTAGTCAGGCCAAAAAGGACTGAAAAGGTAGATTTTCTATGCACGTTTATAGCAGGAAAGAGTTTATTTTTCAACCAATAGTTTAAAAAGTCTAATGTGAGCACGTTAAAGAATCACAGCTCTAAATTTGCTGTAACATCAGCCATGTTTGTGCCTCAGTTTCCACATCTGTCTTACTCTGGGGCCCATTTGGATTGAGGGAGGGAACTCTGCACCCAGAACCACCTCATCCCAAGCTTTACATCATCTTAGGAATGGCCCTAGATATCCAGGAAGAGCTGAAGGCATGCAGGGCCTTTCCCCCAAGGGTCCCTGACGCAAACCTCATCCCCCACGCTGCCCTGGAGTTACAGCAGGAAAAACACACCTGACCAGACGGTTCTCCAGCCGAGTCCCCAAGACCCACTGATTCCTACAATGGTCCAGGCAACGGACCTTTTCAGTGCAGTGTCCCCAGAGCTCCTCAGCTTTTTGTCCCACTGTTTCCATCCAGTAGTTCTAGGCTGCCATGACACTAGATTTTTCTCCACTTCACAAATGCTCTGTGGCCTCCTGTGCTTATGGGCCTTTGTGTGTACTATTCTCTTTGTCTGGAATATCTTACTGCCATCATCCACCGAGCCCTAGTCTCCCGACCAAACTCCTATTCGTCCTTCAAAACTGGTCAGGCTAAGACAATATTTCACAGTCTAAAATAATTCAAAAAAAGTTTAAGATGAATAGCATTGCCATGCCCTTTTATTTTATCAAGTAAGAACATTTTTGGTGACTACTGTCTACTATTATCATTACTTCATAAAAGAAGAGATTTATTTTAAGATGGAAAAAGATAGAGATAATGGCAGACATTTAAATTAAGTAAATTTCTCATTATGAGAATTCATTTCCTTGTTCTTATTTTTTTTTTTTTTCATCTTGCCGGTGACTGGGGAGGCCTGATCCACAGACCGGTAATAGTATACCCACCCCTATGATTTGACCCTCAATAGCCTGAGCGTGAGCAGGCCTTCCGCAGAAGGCTGTTAAGGTCCATCATCGAAATTCCAGGGCTAGAAGGCTGAATCAGAATTGCAGAGGTGGTATCAGGCCCAGGACCCTCTCCTCTCTGGCTCGTGTCGTGGGTCATATTAGGCATTATTAGCTAGGCCCACACACATCAGAGGCAGCAGGATGGCTAATTATTCTGTTGTCATTTTGAAGTAAGCCTAATGAAGAAAGGAATATAAATCGCACCAAGACATCCTTCATTTGTAACAGGTGCTCTCATGGCCCCTTGTCAATTCCTTAGCCCTCAACAGGGTTGAAAGTCAGAGCTGATGTGGGACATCAAAGCATCCTCCAGAGAAGGTAAAGGAAGAAAGAAAAAAACATTGAGTACATAAATACTCCCCAACTACAATCAGCCAGGAGCTGCCACTTGTCTCATGCAAACATATCTGTCACTTGAGGACCAGAGCTTCGAGTAGTCCTATTTGCTCACAATATTTTCACCAGGGAACAGTGATGTCCCAAGTCTGTTCTGGACATTCCAATGAAATGACATTAGTGTACGAGAAAAGCCAGCTTGTTTAGGGAAATTACTGACGACATGCAGGCAAATAAATTCTTTTCTTTGATGAGTAGGTTAGAACTACTTACAATAAGCACTGTGGGTTTTTTGTATGCAAACAGATGCTCTTGAAACTAGCTTGAGAGGTACTTAAAATTGATTTGCTTAAATAAATCAAGCATTCCCTTGTAACCTTACTTCTAATACTGGATAGTTCCTGCAAACCTCTTTTCCCCTTAGATAACACCCAGCATGTGTCCAATTTTCAGCATCATGGTTTTACTGCAAAAAGGTTATGGCAAGATTTTCTAGAGAAAGAGTAAGTCCTAGGATTTTCTTCTTCTTGCTAGCTCATGAATGTGTAATAACATCAAAAAGCTAAAAAAAAGCATTTTTCCTCCTCTTCCTTTGTTCACACCTAACACTTGCCCTTGCTTTCCTGTTAGGGCTGGATGCTGCGGGCCCTCTATTTGAAGGAAGTCCCCCCAGTGACCGTCTTTCACCAGATGATGCCAATTTTGTGGATGCCATTCACACCTTTACTCGGGGGCACATGGGCCTGAGTGTGGGCATCAAAGAGCCCATAGCACATTATGACTTCTACCCCAATGGGGGCTCCTTCCAGCCTGGCTGCCACTTCCTGGAGCTCTACAGACATATTACCAAGCACGGCCTAAATGGTGAGGAAAAAGAATAGCCACTGGCCTGCACTGGCCTGCACTCTCCACACTTGCATGGGCCTCTGGATCCAGTGAAATCTACCAACTCTGTGGATTCTGGGAAGAGTTTGGCAAGGATGGGGGCCCAACGCGTATGGTCACCAAGTCCACTCAGAGAGAGGGCTTGTGGAAGTGGGTAAGGGCTGGTGCTTCCCCAGCAGCCCCCTCCTCTTATCAGACAGAGGTCCTTGGAGCCCGAGCTCTGAGTAGGAGCTGAGGGCACCACCAGGAATCCCCACCTCTAACCCTCACCCAGTGCATCCATGCAAAGTCTCTCCCGGGGTAAGTAGCCTTTCTAAAAGTTGACTCCTGATGCCTGAGCTTATTATTCCTCCTTCTCCAGAAGCTTCCTCACTCAGGCAGCTTCCACTGTTCTGGGCCACATGAGGATCCACTTAACAGATCATAGCTTCTTGATCCTTGGTCGCACAAGAGTGGAAGTAATTCTTCCGCTCCAGTGAGGTTTGGTCAGCTGATCCTCCAGGACAGTACTGAAATTCCAATTCGAAATTCAGCTCTGAACATGTCCTTGTGACTTCCTTTACCTCGGGGCAAAAACTGAATGTGGCATTATCTGGGTTGTGATCCCACTTCTCTCTCAAATCCCAAAACCAAAACATTAACACGTACATTTATAACGCGCACAGGATTAAAGAACACAAATGACAGCAAAAACCATACGTTCCCCAGGCATTCTGAATTTCTCGTTATTATAAAAAATCATCTTGATTAAAACATGCCAACTCACTGTAAGCCAACTGGAGACCCCACCCCCACGTACCACCTTCTCACCCCAATCATCCAAAACCAAGCTGAGAACACACTCCCTTGCGATTACATCACCACCTGCACCTCTCCCGTATTGGAATGACCGTATCGGAATGTCCGTATCAGAATGACCTTCCCACTCGACATTATCTCATTTTGGCTGGACTCCCAGCCTTCCACCCACCCAGGCCCGGAGAGGGATCTTCCCCTTATCTTTCTTTACATCTCCCTGGAGTCATCGCCCCTCTCGTCACCAGGAGTTCCTGGCTAACTGTTCATCTAGTCCTCCTCCCAGATCTACATCCTCCCAAAGCTCAACACAGGTCTCTAGGATGGTGTTCAGTAACTAGCTGCCTAGTTAAGGCATCTCTGACCTATGAGTGCTATTTGCTCTTTTATGCTAAACTTCAAGGTGATGACCAAGTATGTTTATGTAGTTGGCCCAAATTTGGTGTGGTTTTTCTGTTTTCTTTACCTTTATGTTGAAAAGTGATCCTATTCTAGGGTGGTTCTCACAACCGTATCTGAACAGAAGGTAACCTGATAACTGCTTTATCATCCTAACCACCTAGGTAAGACTAGGTGAGCTCGAGTGAATTAGTGAATATCTTTGGAGTTCCATTTTCTCACTTGTAACAGCTGCTTCAAGGAGCTGTGCGAAGATACAGGGAGTGGATGAGTAAAGGCACTTGTGCATTTTTAACCATCCGAGAAAGAAATATTCCTTAAAAAAATCACACTATCCTGCTTTCTGAAATAATTTGTTATTTTCTTAGTGACTTGGGTTCCTTTTAAAATGCCTACTATAGCACACTGATCACAGGGTGCTTCCACACCAAGTGACTGAGATGGGTCCACTCTTTCTGTAGGTTTTGGTCCGTTGTTACATGCACCCACCCCTCCTTCCTAACGTGATGCTACTCTGCACTGAGAAACAAGGTGATCCTTTGAGTTGAAGTTACTTTAGATTAAAGGGTGATAACGACCCCCTTGCCCTGTGTTCCAGCCATCACCCAGACCATAAAATGCTCCCACGAGCGGTCAGTGCACCTCTTCATCGACTCCTTGCTGCACGCCGGCATGCAGAGCACGGCCTACCTGTGCAGCGACATGAACAGCTTCAGCCAGGGCCTGTGCCTGAGCTGCAAGAAGGGCCACTGCAACACGCTGGGCTACCACATCCGCCAGGAGTGGCACGGCAAGAAGAGCAGGAGGCTCTTCCTGGTGACAAGAGCCCAGTCCCCCTTCAGAGGTGAGTGAGTACGGGTAGCCTGGAGCCTTCAGAAGGACAGGATGCAGCCACCTGTCTGAAGGTTCACAAGTTCCCTGCAGTCTTTCTCTGCAGTGTCTTCAGGTTCTGCTACTTTAGTGTTTCTGAAACTGCACAGATTCCAGACAGCAATGTTGACACAGCCTCTCTTTTCCCAAGAATGTGGCCAACTTGCTGCCAAGTGCTAAAAGAGAAGCCTTAATACTTTCTGGAATTACCCCTGGGTTGGCCTCTCTTCATCCATTTTCATGGTCCCCTATAATGTATGACCCAGAAGGCCCGGAACAGTTACCTCAACCACCCAGGTCTTCTTGTCACAGGGACCTGGAGTCATCCCCAAACCCAAGCCAGAATCCAGTGCTTTCACCTCTGCTCATGACCCCTATGACAAAACAACCCCCCTGGCTATATTTGCAGCTCCTATTTCCTCTAAAGATTGAATCAGCTGATCTTACAGCATATCATTGTCCCGTTGAGGCCTTCTCAAGGTGAAGGTCAGCTTCCAGTGTTTCCCAGTCAGATCCTTTACCTCAGGCAGAAACCAACCCCCTGCTACTCTCTGGGTTGAACAGGAGGTCAGAAAAAGGCCTGTGGCCATGTCTTGGGCTGAAGCCAGCAGAGAAATACTCCACCGAAGCCTAAATCCTCCTGGAGGGAACAAGGCAACATCTGTTGCCATTAACATTTCTGCCTAATCCTTAAAACAGCTCGTGAGTGATTTAGCTTCTTACGGTTTCATAGCACGTGTTCTGTTTGCCAGCACTGGGAGGAGCCCGGTGTTGTGCTGTTTGATTATTACCGTGCAAATATTTGTATCTGCGGAAGGTGAATGCATTGTCACCAGCACTACACATTTGCACAGCGTTTTATGCAAAACATTAGGTGCAGCCATTGATTTCTTGTGGCTCCCACAACAGCCAAACAAAGTCAGCAGGGCTGGTTACTCCCCCATTTTAAGAGGAGGAGGGCAAACCTCGGGTGGAGTGACCTACCCATAGCCTGGAGGGTTGCATCCCAGTGTGGTGTTTCTTTTACTATCACACTCCCAAGTTCAGTCTCCCAGGTGACTTATTTCTTTACGCGCAGGGTTCCTTGTTTATCTGAACTTTTGCTCTCCAGCCACATTTCCTTTCCGTGAGCCAAGACGGCCCAGGAATGACAGAAATCCATCGTGGGTGGCTGATAGCTTCTGAGAACACTTGGAGTGAGGGCGCTGAGGGTCTGGAGTGTCCCCTTCACTCTTTGTGCCTTAAAGATAGAGGAGCCAGTAATATCTGGGAGCAGGTGGGGGTGTTTGGAAGGCCTCCTGCTTAAGAGAGCTCCCCTGCCATAGGCGCGGGTTAGACACTCTCTCGCTTGGGTTAACCAGCTCCTCTTTTAAGTGGTAAAGCCGCCTGGAGTGATTAAGCTTCTCAGATAATCACATTTCACTGGATCTACTTTAATCCTGTAATGTTAGCATTTCGAGAGACTGTTCAACCTCTCCAGTTTCACAGATGGAGAAACCGAGGCCCAGAAGGGGAAAAGTATATGCCCAGGGCCACAAAGTGAATTCTTGGCAGAGCCAACCTTTAGACCCAGACCTCCAAACAACTAGTTGAGTGATCTTTTTTTTTTTTTTTCATCTCAGTAACCTGCCCCTAGTCTGTTTGTGGGGTGAAGGAGGGGAAAGAGGAGAGGATGAGGGGTTCTCTTTCTTCTTGAGATCAGCTGGGAAGAAAGAAGGTCATTTTTTGCCTTCCAGGGCTGTGTTGTACATTTGAAGTGAGGGGCTCGGTCCAGCCCCAGGATATCTGCTGGGGGTTTGGAGATGGGGAAGGGAAGCGAGCATCAGGAAAGGAAGAGGGCGAAGAAAGAGCAGTAGGTACAAGCCAGGCTGAGTTCGTCCCTGCCAAGGAGCCTGGGTGCCCGGCTACTCCATGCTGCTCATGTGAGCTCCTTTCCTATTATGGAGACCAAAGCATCGTGTCAGGGCAGCATTACTCGCCCTGTGGCTACCAAAATCAATGTTCTTATCCATTCATTTCTTTGCCTAGCCAACAGAGGCAGAGTCCCTACCTCAGGGGACTTGGTGAAGACCAAACCCTTGCCATGCGGTACGTGCTAACTACTGTCCCAGGAAGACAGGCCATGAGTCCCTTGGAAACAACACTTAGGTCTCTTTATTACCAATTACCCATCTTGCTCCAGGGACAACAGATGAGAATAGGACCCATGGGGTTGGTGATATGGAGGCAGGACTACAAGGCAGGACAGCCTGGAACCTGACAGAATATAAACCTCCAGCCCCTGACAGAGGATCCAGTGATGCGCTGTGGCCTGCACTGCACCCTCCTCTCCTCGAGGCCCTCCAAATTCTCCCCAGTTCTGCCTCAGTCCTTGTAATGGGCAAAGTTCTAATCCGGTCGCTGGTGGGGAGAAGCAGCCCTGTGGTCACACCAAACTGCCCTGGGAATGGCCGGGAATTACACTCAGGTGAGACTCTATCTGTCTGGAAGTGGCTGCTCACGGGATGCTGCAGTCTGTATAATGCGATGTCATCCACTGTGGTAGCCACTAACCATGTGTGGCTATTTTAATTACTTAAGTTAAATAAAATCAACAATTTGATTCTTCAGTCACACTAGCTGCCTTTCAAGTACTCAGATACGTGGCTGCTGCATCAGAGAGTACAGAAATGAATCTCCATCACCACAGAAAGTTCTGTGGACGGTGCTAGCATGAAGCCCTTAATCTAGGTCACCCTAACTGTACCCTTCTCCACCCATCATGGTCATGATCATCTCTGATTTAAGCCCCTGGAGACTGTTTCACTGGCCACCTCCAGCATTTGATGAATACGTATCGATTCGTAAAAGAATAGACTTGCTCAACCCTGGTTACAGAGAACCCACAATCCATATTTTTCAAGGACGTCTAATTGTACTATATATTCTAGTGCAGGGTCTAGCTGGGCAAGATAAACATCGCCTCCCAGCTGTAGTTTCACAGAAGATGACTAGCTTGGCGCTCATTCCTCTGGCTCCAAGATATGTTGACAAAGCCATCAAAGGATCTATTTTCTACAATCGTCTGCCAGAACTCCGGTAAACACTGGGGGAGCACAGCCGTAGCAGAGGAGAATTGGGAAACAGTCACTGAGTGAAACGAGGCAATTTATCACCCACTTCCATCCTCGTTCTCTCAGGAGGAACTTTTACCAGTTTGGGAGCCAGTCTTTTAAGAGAGAGGGGAGGGAAATGAATCTGTATTGGGTAAATTCTGCTTAGCAAGGACTTATCTAATTAATCCTCGTAGCAGTCAGATGAGGTAAGTGGGTGGAGGGGAGGAAAGGGGCCCTTATGGGGGCTTACTCTGACCAGGTGCCATGCTGAATGAGCTGCACAAATTATCGCATTTATCATTTAATCCTCACAACAACCCAAAGAGAGAGACAGAGACAGGTGGTGGGGTGGCGGTGGTGGGGATTAATTAATTGTTCAATAAAGAAATTGAGAGTCATGGAAGTTAAATCTTCCCAAAGTCATACTGTTTGTGAGTAGCAAATGCAGTATTTGGCCACAGGTCTCTCTGATTCCATGGCCCTTACTCCTTTCACTCTACAGGGCCTCCTGAGAGTAGGATCAAGGCCAGTCCACCGCCCCTGACACACACACACACACACACACACACACACACACACACACTTTCTCCCTGCACACTGGGACTTATCCAGCTGGTGGGAACCTGCTTCTGTTGCTGCTCCAGCTGATGAGAACACTCTTTTCTTCTGGCTGGTGAGATAACCAGCCAGACTATGACTTGAGGAGTCTGTATATCTTTAGCTTTTCTCAGCTACTTCTTTGGAAGGTTTTCACTCATTTCCAGGGAGAGTTCCAGGAGAAGCAGTAAGTATAAGAGAGAGGGAGAGCAGGCTTGGGATGGCAATCAGATGTGTCTAGAATTTGGCTTTGCTGCCATCCACACATGTGACCGTGACCTAGTGATAAAACCATTGTGAGGCACAAGGCAATTATGTGTGGATGAGCATGGGAGTGAACCACTAAAACTGGCACCTATGGGTGGGGCTCAGGACCATATCTGGTCACTCCAGCATGTAGGAAGGGAACAGGTGTCACTGGGTTAATATCTTCTAGAAGCCTGGCACTTTTAGTCACAACAACTGTGTGAGAGAGCTCTTAATACCCATTTTAAAAATGAGGAAACTGAGCTGCAGAGAAGCTGTAAGTGTTCACGACCATGTGGTGGTAGATGGCAGAGTCACACTTCAACCTAGGGCTTCTGTTCCTCGATTGAGGGCTCTCATTGCCATCCCACGTGAAGCACCTACAGCACAAACAGTGGGCGGCAGGACGCCAGTCAGCCCAACACTCCTTACCCCTCACACACACCTCTGCTTACCCATGCGCACACACATAAACACGCTCCTTACCCCTCACATACTCACACACACTTTTCTTACCTTCCCCTGCCCACACACACACATTCCTCCATCTCCACCCCTAGCAGAAGGGGCAAGCATCCAATCTTGTGACATCAGACATAAGTTAAATGGGTTGGTACGGTTAAGCCCAAATGTGGCTGGTCACTAACCTAAGCACATACATGCACACACACATATGCTAAGAAAACCACTCATTCTGCTTCTTCCTCCCTTGAGCCTACTCTGAGTTAATTCAACAAACCCCCCTGCCAGCACCGGCTGCCTCAGGTGGTGGCCTTCTGTACAATAGCGTCTGTGAGCCTCTCAACCCCATGATGTTCAGCCTTCCTCTTGAGTTAGAGGCGTTTCAGATCTAGGAGCGAGCCCTTGGTGCTGCAGGGAAACATAAGAGATCTCATTCCTACCATCTCCACAAGAGAAAATCGATACACTGGAAAAAAGGCCCCTTTGATGTTTGCAATGATAGTCATAATATCTCCCAGAGCCAATATCTAATGATTCGAAATCATTTTCTCCATGAGACCAAAAAAAGAAAAGA